TCCAGTTCAGCTGCAGTTAATCATTAAACTGTTCCATAACTTTGTGATACCCTCTGGGAAATGGTTTTATCGCCCTCATTTTAGAGAATAGCTCCTCCTTCTTCAAGTCTAGCGGAGATGTTTTCTTCAGTCTGGAATCAGCACACGCCTCAGAAAGCATTAGCTACCCCTCACCTGGGCTCTAGCAGCTTGTTAGGTCTCTCTTGATGGGACTTGCCTCCAAAGTGTTGTCAGGTATCATTCCCGGGTGTGATTTCCGCTGCTTCTCTTGGAGACCCTCAAGGGCAGACGTGTTGTCACAGGTATGCACGTTCTCAGGACCCAACCCAGGGCACGTAGGTGCTGAGTCCATGCAGGCATGTACAAACAAGGAAGCCCTGGGGTGTCTCCCCACCATGTCACAGCGGGTCAGTGGCAGAGCAGGGCTTCAGCCCAGGTCTCCAGTCCAGGACCCTTTTCGCTCTGGGATTTGATCTTGAATTTTCAAGGATCAGAAATTGAAAACCCTGAAGACAGTTCCTGGGCTTATGTATTATGAAGTAAAACATAATAAACATATAGAAGCATTCCTGAGTTTTGCAAACCTTCATTAATCTATACGATATGCTGGGAGACTGTGGAGATAGCATGGCCAGATAGGCACGGACCTTCCTATTTTTTGTTAAACCTGAGACTGAATTCTGCTAGACTTGTGTCCTTTTGATTCTAACTAAAGCCAAATGCATGCTGTTTTAGAATGTTAGTTTATTTATTATGTGTTCCCCAAAAATGAATAAGAAGAAATACCTAAGTGAAGAAGAAAAGTAGGGTCAAGTAGAGGCCCGGGATCTACCAGATATTAAAGCACATGACAAAGCTTCTCAAGAAAGGAAGAAAGAAGGGGAGGGAGAAAGGGGAAGAGGGAAGAAATAATTTAAATAGTGACATCACAGACTTTCTTTGGAATTTCTAGAAAGTTCTCAGGTAAAAGATGCATCAGTTTATGAAGCTTAAAGGTAACATTTAAAAGGAACTCAGTAAGAGTTCTTAGGGAGCAGTTGGGATGTAATTTTCTCTTGTCTTTTTTTGGTTTGAGTTAATAACTCTTTAGTAGGAGGACCATTATAATTCCATTGATGGCAGGAATAAGGCACTGTATACTGCAGTAAGGAGATACACAAACTCTAAAAGTAATTTTGATGACTTTTTTTCTTATTTGTAAAAAATCTTTGTTCGTGTTACGTAAGCTATTATACCCAGAGGGAAAAGATTTTAATAAAATGGAGCTCTTACTCATTTCCACTAAATAACCTCCTAGGAATGACAGAGTACCAGCTGGAAATGTTGAAGTGGTTAGAGAAATGTATTTGTTAGACAAAGAAACATCAGCCTTTATAGTTCTATTATTGGGGCTCTCTAACGTCAGCGAGCACAGTGCATCGATTCCATTTTTGGAGCTGAGTCACAGGCCTGATGGAGCTTCAGAGGAAGGAGACAGACCCTGCCCTGGAAAAATTTACTGCTTGGTTCTGCTTGGCTAAGAACATTGCCCTGAAACATCGCAAGTCTTTATTATATAGCAGAACAAAAGTGCTTATTTTTTTGTGTGTCTAATGAGATAAAAATTTGATTGCATAAAGACATATATTGGACAAGACAACATCTTAGAGAGTGAACAAGGTCAGTGGATGACCTAGGCATACTGACCAGGGCCGGGCCAGACACACAGTGGTAGCGTGAGTGTGGTCCTCCATGGGCCATTCAGCAGGTGGAAGGATACTATCTGTGAGGGTCACATGCTGGGCCTGCTGGAATAAAGACTGACAAGGGGCAGGCCACTAGGCAGCCTGAAGAGCAGTAGTCCCCAAAGTGGACTTCAGGGGCCCTGAAGAGTGGCTGTTACTAGGACATGGGCTTTCTACAGCCAATGGACGTTCCTTTATAGTTCTATTATTGGGGCTCTCTAACGTCAGCGAGCACAGTGCATCGATTCCATTTTTGGAGCTGAGTCACAGGCCTGATGGAGCTTCAAAGGAAGGAGACAGACCCTGCCCTGGAAAAATTTACTGCTTGGTTCTGCTTGGCTAAGAACATTGCCCTGAAACATCGCAAGTCCTTATTATATAGCAGAACAAAAGTGCTTATTTTTTTGTGTGTCTAATGAGATAAAAATTTGATTGCGTAAAGACATATATTGGACAAGACAACATTTTAGAGAGTGAACAAGGTCAGTGGATGACCTAGGCATACTGACCAGGGCCGGGCCAGACACACAGTGGTAGCGTGAGTGTGGTCCTCCATGGGCGATTCAGCAGGTGGAAGGATACTATCTGTGAGGATCACATGCTGGGCCTGCTGGAATAAAGACTGACAGGGGCAGGCCACCAGGCAGCCTGAAGAGCAGTAGTCCCCAAAGTGGACTTCAGGGGCCCTGAAGAGTGGCTGTTACTAGGACATGGGCTTTCTACAGCCAATGGACGTGTACATCATTCAGGTATGTTTTGGCATAGAATTGACAACTTTCACTTGCAACTTTTCCCCAGGGAAAGCAGATGTTTGGCATTTACCACCACACCATTCCCTGGAGCTCCCTGAGACCCTGTCAGGATCTGCATGGGCAAATTGTCTGCATAATAATACTAAGATGTCATTTTCCATTTTTACTCTTGTTTAATGAGTGTGCAGAAGCTATGTGACATGTGATAATGCAACACACTGAATGCAGAGTAGATATGAATATCCAGCTATCTTAAGCCCAGAGGTGTGCAAAAATATTTTTTTAATTGCCACTCTTGTCACTCATTTTTTTCTTTTGGAAAATGATTATTTTTCATAAAAATATGATTTATGTTAACATATAACATATAGCTCATTATTATCTTGTGTGCTCACATGCTAAGTCACTTCAGTTGTGTCCAACTCTTTGTTACCCTGTGAACTGTAGCCCATCAGGTTTCTCTGTCCATGGGATTCTCAAGGCAAGAATACTGGAGTGGGTTGCTTTGCCCTTCTCCAGGGGAATCTTCCCAACCCAGGGATCAAACCCACATTTCTTATGTCTCCTGCATTAGCAGGCAAATTCTTTACCACTGAGCCACCAGGGAAGCCATTCCCTTCTCCAGGGGATCTTCCCGACCCAGGGATTGAACCCAGGTCTCCTGCATTGCAGGTGGATTCTTTACCATCTGAGCCACCAGGGAAATCCCATTATTATCTTAAAGTGAATTAATAAAGAGATTTTGTTAGTTCCTCAATTTTAATCTCAAACATGGTAAATATTAATACACATAACCCATATAAGGAAAAACTCTTTGGGGTCCTCAAATTTCTTAAGGGATTTTATTTTGTGGAGTGGCTTTGGGTTCCTAACAAAATTGAGTGGAAAATAGAGAAGGATGGACAGACACTCAAATGAGTGCATTAGATTCTTGTGCTAAGAAAGAGGAGAGAATGTGGTGGAGGGGAACCCTAAATGTGTTTTGTACATCCTCCTGCCTTGTTCTGGAGTTGAATAGGCCTGTTGCTTTAGGGTATCTCTGTGAGGGCCCAAATTTAGATGCTCTGTGACCCAGACATGAGCCTGGTCCCACAGGGGCAGAGAATGTGAGTTGTCCTCCTGCTTGGGACTAGATGACACAGGGCAGGGTCAGGGCAGTTGGGATAGGTTCTCCAGTCTTGGTTATCAGGTTGTGTGTGTAGATCAAGTGCTGTGCCTCTTTATCTTCATAACTAAAACTTTTGTTAAATCTCAAGAGTAAACCACGTTAAAAGGGGAACAGCCACATCTTGGTCTGCTCACCCGCCACCCTTGAAGTTCTGTAGGAAACACATAGAGAGAGGAGAAAGGTGGAACTTTGGTCTTAAACCCCAGGATATGGGGGAGAAGAAAAAATCCCCTGGTCTGCCAAGCTTGTCCAGAGAGGGAAAGCTTGATTTGCTGAAAGAGGCCAGTTGCTTTCTCTGCTCCATTCGCCCCGGCCACAGCCCAGCCTCAGACCATGGCTGCAGTGAGACAGGCCCGCAGCTGACCTGGGCAGAGCCGAGGGTTGAGTGGGGCCACTCCTGTCCCACCGATGTGGTCAGGCCACACACAGCTGCTCCCAGGCCCAGCTGGCCACATCAGCTACAGGAGACTCATGAGGGATCCAGAGAACAGGCCAAAGCAAGCAAGCCTGAAGGCCAGGTCTTCCTGTACCACAACCACACAGAAGGACGTCACTCTTGTCCATTCACCAAGGACCACCCATACTCTCACCGTTTGCAGATGCTGAGAGCATCACTTCTGGCACTGGGCCAAGGGTAGCAGCATGCCTGCAGGGCAGGCAGAGCTCTTGTCAACCTGGGGACTACAAGTGGGGGTCCCCGTGGTCCGTAAAGGTCCAGGTGTGAGGTGTCTGTGCTATTTCATAGGTAGAAGGGTCTAGAGTTTTCATCAGATTTTCAAAGGTGGGGGGAGTCCTTGCTCAGAAAAGGTTAAGAATCACTGTGTTATGACTCATTTATTTTTGTAACTGGAAGTTTGTACCTCTTAATTTCCCTCCCCTATTACAAAAAAAAAAAAGAAAATCACCATGTTAGAGGCCAACACTGCTTATAGCTGCCCTGTTGAGGGTTTTGAAAAAAATTCCATTCAATAACATTAACTCAGCAAATAGCTGAGTTGTTCTCCACGCCTGGCTTGGTGCTGAGGGCTGGAAACGCAACAGTGAGCAAGGCCAGATGCTATCTGTTTGTCTCGGAGGATCATAGATATAAATAAAATAACCACACAAATGCATATCCAGTCTCAAATCAAGCATTGCTCTGAAGGGAAAGAACCTGGTTCTGTGATAGATATAACAGTGGGTGAATAGCATTTTGGTTTTATATATTTTTATATTTTTGGATGGGTAATATATTCAAAAATTCAGTAGATTATGTAGCAAAAATTCCACCCCTCACACATACCTTTACTCACAACCTCCAGCTACTCCTTGGAAGCTTTAAGTTGTTTTACAGATGAGTGAATTGGCCTCCTAGCAAATTAGGGGAAGAAAAGAAAGCTTACCTGAGAATATGAAACTTGAAATGAAATTTGAAACACGAATGTGAGTTAACTAATGAAGAGGACTGGAAGGGGATGGGGGAAGCACAGAGGCAACCGCTTGTGCAAAGGCCCTGGGGCTAGAGACAGCATGATATCTTAGAAAGAAAGCCTGTGTGGCTGGAGTGCAGGAAGCAAGGGCAGGGGACGTCCAGGAAGCTACTGAGTGAGGAGTGTGCTCAGCGCTTTAACCTAAAAGCCCTGGGAAGCCACTGAATGATGAAGAGAGATAAACTTCCCTCATAGTTTTTTTGGGGAAAATATCACCCTGGCTGTAGTATGGAGAAGAGATTGGAAGGAAAAGCAGTTAATGGGCTTTTATTCAGCTCAGGTGAGAAATGGTGTGGCTTGGTGGTGGTGATATATCTATATATTTTGCAAGAAATATATTGGCGTGCAAAGTTCTTGCTTGTTAACACAACATTTGTTTCAGTTTTCTCAACTGAGTGGAAGAAAAGTCCATAATGAGTTTATTCAGAATGTAGTTAACACTCGGATCTATTTTGTCCAAGCATGTAGCCCCACTGAAGGATAATTTAGCTCTTTGATGGACAAAGAGCTGAAAGTCTCATACAACCCTGCTAGAAGTCATTTGGTTTAGACTCCCACCCCAGCACCCCAAAGCCATCTATCTCCCTTCTGCAGGAGCCCTCCAGTGGCAGGAGGTTGTCACTGTTACACAGTCACGACAGAAGGCCCCTGTGGGTGATGTTCACCAATCAGGGAACAAATAATTAAAACACCCGATGGCTCTACTGGTTTTGGTGTTCGCACACTGAATTTTCCTTCTCTTCTGATCCCCCAGGATGGCCTATTTTGAGGAGCAAGGAGGTGTGCCCTGTGGCTTCACCCGCCAGAATTCTGGCAACTCCATTTCCTTGGACTTTGAGCCGGACGTGGAGTACCAGTTTGTGGAGCAGTTGGAAGAGCGCTACAAGTGTGCCTTCTGCCGCTCTGTGCTCCACAACCCCCACCAGACGGGCTGTGGGCACCGGTTCTGCCATCACTGCATCCTGTCCCTGAGGTGAGCCGGCGGGGCCTCCGCTCCGGCCAGAAGCGGCCAGCGTGTCCCTGCAAGCGGCCATCTGTGGCCACTCAACTACGATCAGGGTTTCGGGAATTGCTGTGGTTGCCCACAGAACCACATGAGGACAGGCTCTCCCTAGGCCCTTCTCTGAGAGCTGAGGAGTATAACCTTCATTTTCTTCCCGCTCTCCTACTGATCATCACCTTTTCTTAAAATTCAGACCACACCCGTTTTGCACTCGAGGGCCAACCTCGGTGCACAAGCTACACAGGGAAGGACCTATCTGCCAAGAGGGTCTTTCTTGTAGGCGCCCTGACCTACCCTTGCCTTGATTCAGGGCTGGTGTCGCATCCAGAAGTTTCCTTGCTGCCCTGGATGCTGTCAACTCCTTGGCAGCTGGAAAACCTGGGTCGTGTTTTGAGGGTGAAGACCAGGTGAGACATGGAACCAGGCTCTAGGGGCCTATACAGGGGGCACCACGGAAGTTATACCCTCCCGAGCTTGGAGAGGGGGTTATTGCAGCACATTCTCATTCATTCCTGGGTTTGTTCATTTGACACCTGGGTCTAAACAAAGCTCTGGTGCACAGAGGTGAAGAGTTAGAGGTTCAGTGCAAAACAGGACCCTCTAGAATCTTCTGTTCTAGTGGAGGAGACAGGTGGTAGTGCAGTATGATAGCATAGGACCACCAAGGGAACGTTGGCAGAGGACATTTGACTATGCCCGCGGACTCTCTCTTAGACTCACGTCCTGGAGGATGAATGGGACTTTCAGGACTTTCACTGAGGAGGTGCTGAAATTGGGGCACCAGAGGGCCCCTTCTGTAAAGAGGGAACAGCATGAATAAATATGGGGCCTGGCCTGCTCGGTTCAAGTGTGGCTGGAGCGGTGGGGCTGCTCTTAGAAAGGTTGTTGAGGTCAACCCTTAACTTTGGCTTCATGTTGATTTTTCTTTCCAGAGAACTGGACGCAGTCCCACTCTGCCCTGTAGATAAGGAGGTGATCAAATCTCAGGAGGTAAGACGATCCCTGGTTTGGGATGGAGCAGCCAGTGTCCTGGGTTGAACTGAACAGAGAAGTTGGAGCAGGAGAACAGGAGGGGGACCCTTCCTTGGAGTCCATATTCCTCTGCCGTGTGGTCAGTTGGACCCCACTCCCACCCCTATTTGAAAGAGGAGTGTTTGGGTCCTTACTGAACCCCCAGGTCTTTTTTCCCACATCCTCTTTACCCTCTTTCTATATAAGCTCCAGTTACTGTGAGTTGCTTGCAGAAATGAAACATCCTATTTCCTGGAATTCACTTTCTCATCTGTTTAGTCTCTCAAACTTTCTTATATTAAGTCTAACGATAGCTTTATTGAGATACAATGCATATGCCATAAAATTTGCCTTTAAAGTATGCATGTTTCTGGGGTGTGTGCCTAGGAGCAGAATGACTGGGTCACATGGTAACTCTATGTTTAACATTCTGAGGAACCAGCAGGCTGTTTTCCAAAGCAGCATTCTTTCCAGCAAGGTATGAGAGTTCCTAATTTCTCTAGATCCTTGCCAAAATTTGTTGTGGACCATCTTTTTGATTATAGCCTTCCTGGTGGTTATGAAGAGATACCTCATGGTTTTGATGCTCTAGTGTTTGATGACATGGAGCTTTATTTCATGTGCTTGGCTGATTGGATATCTTCTTTGTAGAGATTTCTATTCAAATCCTTTGCCCATTTTTTAAGTGGGTTATTTGTCTTTTTAGTCAAAGGTATGTGTGCCTTCTCTTTGCTCTTATAATGTGTTTTCCATATGCCTAGCTGTACTTGTGTCTGCCTCACCCACTAGCCAGGGGTTGGCATACTACAACATGGGATTTGTTGGGACCAATCCAGCTTGCCACCTGTTTTTGTATGGCCTGTGAGCTAAGAGTGGCTTTTATATTTTTAAATCATTGAAAAAAATCAAAATAAGGGTACACAGGAACTCTGTACTATTTTTGCAACTTCTTGTGAGTCTATTTCAAAGTAAAAATTTATAAATCAAAAGAATAATGTTCTGTAACATGTGAAAGTCATATGAAATTCACATTTGTGCCCATAAATAACATCTTATTGGAACACAGGCATGCCCATTCACTAAAATATTATGTACAGCAGGGCTGAATAATGGCATCAGAGGACATCGCAATGTGGCTGGCAAAGCTGAAAGTAATTTACTCTCTGACCCTTTCTTGAGAAAGTTTGCCAACCCCTGCCTTGTGCTGAAAAATAAGTCAGCAGAGCTTCAATGATACCACTTGATGACTAATACAACCTTTACCCTGGGACAGGAAGGTGAAAGCATCGCCCCCATCCACAGCCCCACCTCCTGACCTTTGAGCATGTGGGGTCAAGTTCACCACCAGATTTCCCCCAGCTTCAGCCTACTGCAGTAAGCATTGAATTACCTGGCTTGTATGTTTGGTGGCCTGTCAGATGTATCTGAGATGGTCTTTTCTTATATGGTGGTGAATCTGGTATTTCCATTCCAACCACTGACTGGAAGTTTCCACCCAACTTTTGAGATGTACTGAAGACCAAATTAATAATAGATTCCTTCATGTTGATCTAAAGCTTTGGAGTGTGTGAATCTATTATGTTTATCTTTTAGGTGTTTAAAGACAATTGCTGCAAAAGGGAAGTCCTCAATTTGTATGTGTTTTGCAAAAATGCTCCCAGATGTAATGCCAAGATTATTCTGGGACGATACCAGGTTGGTATTACTCATGAACAGTGTCTGCCATTTTCCAATGTCGTGTACTGAACACATTTTTATGTGTCAGTTCCTGGGCTAAGCATGGAACCAGGTTTCGGTGGGTGGCACTCGGAGAATTCTTGTCTAGCAACACAGTTGGCTACAGTGTAGCACGCCAAGGGCTAAGGTATGAAATGAATCTCACAAGAAGAGATTCATTTGGTATGGAACACATGGAATACCAATGTGTGCTAGACCTTGAATTACAGGTCAGGGTTCATTGATTCAAAAGAGAGTGGTATGTGCTGGGCAATAGAAATGGTCGAGCCAAGGACACGTCATTTTTGGAAAACTGTGAAGGATTTGGGATTCCAGGGCATGACTGCAGAAAAACATAGTTGTAAGGGGTCCCTACCCGGAAGCATTGCAGGTGCTGGGGTGGGTGTTTCCTGGTTGCTATGGGCCCTGCTCTCTTAGAGGTTGTGATCTAAAGGGAGATGACACAGACCAGAACAGAGCTAGGATGCAGTGTGAAGGTGAAGTGTGGGTAAGAGATGCGGACAAACAAGGTATAGGGGAGGTGACGGTTTGTCAAGTTCCTTTCAGATGAAATTGCCCTCCCTCACTCTCCCATCCATCAGCAGAAAGTCGTTAAATGGGAAATAGGACACGCGGCTTTGCCAGAGCAGGCCCAGGTCAGGTTCCATCACCTCATGCATGAATATGAGGCAGACGTCTCTAGCTTCCAGGGAACTGCGTGGAGACTGCTGCAAGTTGCCCCCCCCCCCCGCCCCCACACCACGTTGTGGAAGGTATTTCTAGTGATTCAGTCCTTTCCCCAGCACTCCTCCAAACCCCCAGGCACTGAGCTCAGAAATGTGTAGATGATTTCCTTGTTAACCCAAGAATTTCTTTGGACGTTCAGGAAAGGTTTTTGTGTTTTCCTGAGACAGTCCCTCACCACTTGTTTTGATAGTCAGGTCCGATAGTAGGGTTTCTTGGCCAACTTGGTTGTCCCTAAGCCTGAGAAGGAAATGAGGTTAGCTCTCGTGACCAGATCATCAGCTTCTGGAGGATAGCAGCTGGTTTTCTCTTCACCTGTTTCTTTCGTGTTAATATTTCCTCTTACTCCCTGTTCTCCGTCACTTGTGTGGTAAGCTGTAGGATTTCACAGGATGCAGAGTCTTGAGGAATGTTGACTGTTTTGGTGACAGCCGAGGGGTAGCATCGGTGAACTTTGGAGAAGATGTAGATTTTAGCTGTCACTGTCATTACTAGAGGCAAAGGAGAATAGCTATCATGTTTATTTACTTCCTGTAGGAAAACTGTGTGCCCCTTTTTTTTCTTCCTTCAGAGGAGGGGTCAGCAAACTATTTCTCTCAGGAGCCAGAGAGTAAATATTTTAAGCTTTGCCAGCCAGTGTCTGTCGCAGCTGCCTGACTCTCCCTTCTTGGAGGGAAAGCAGCCATAGCCAACATGGGAAGAAATACGGGTGTTCTCAGTTACACCTTATTTACAGAAACAAGTAGTGGGCCAGGTTAGACCCAAGGGCTGTAGCTTGCCAGCCGTGTTTCAAAGGATCTTGTGGTGGGGAACAAGCCCACTAGAATTTTGATACCTTGTCAGCATCACAGGAACTTGTAGTGTTATCCCCAGGTCTTGTTAAGACTTGCCTGCTTAATAAAAGTCTGTAACATGAACAACACTGGACCAAACGTTGTCCATGTCATCATTTTCTAATATGCTGGTTATGAATATCTCCCAACTTGACAAGGCTGACCCAAGCTTCTCCTGGGCCTGGGATTCTGATCCCTGAATTCCTCTCACTGCTTTGCTTTACTGCCTCTGGGACAGCTCCCTCTCCCTGTCCTTCCTTCCTCCAGTCCTTCCCCTTCCTTCACTTACTTAGGAGCTGGCCTTCTCTTCCCTCTCTGCCCTCTGTTTCGGCTTTTACCACCTGGGGCTTCCCTGGTGGCTCAGTGGTAAAGAAAACACCTGCCAACGCTCTGGATGCAGGTTTGATCCCTGGGTCGGGAAGATCCCCTGGCTACCCACTCCAGTATTGTTGCCTGGCATGGCTTCCCACTCCAGTATTGTTGCCTGGAGAATCCCCACGGACAGAGGAGCCTGGCGGGCTACAGTCCACAGGGTCGCAAAGGGTTGGACATGACTGAGCGACCAAGCAACAACAGCAGAGTGCAGAGATTAGGACTTGGTGCCAGGGGTGGGCATGGAGGGCGCACAAAAGAAATGGCCTTGACCGAGCTGGTAAATTAATTGGCAAAGCTAAGGAAGATGTTCAGGGACTAACCTGAGAGTGTGAGCAGGTTAGTAGATGATCTAAGATAAACTCAGCATGCTGCTTTCTTCAGCCATCTTCAAAGCCCTGTCCTCCAGGCCAGGCTGGCTTTTGCAGCCTCCATGCAGACGGCCCTCTGCATGACCCGTCCTCAGCAGAGGCAGCAGGTGGCCTCTGCAGGGAGCTGTCCTTCCCCCACCAACCCTCCCAGCTGGTCCTCCCGCTGCCCCGGGGTCCTCCGCGCCTCTGCCCTCCCCGGCCTTGCAGTAGGCTCCCCTTACCAGTGCCCTGCTCCGCGTGTCCCACTGGCCTGTTGTTACCTGTTGCAGGACCACCTTCAGCACTGCCTGTTCCAGCCTGTGCAGTGCTCTAATGAAAACTGTCAGGAGCCAGTCCTTCGCAAAGATCTGAAAGAGCATCTGAGCGCATTCTGCCAGTTTCGAGAGGAAAAATGCATTTATTGCAAAAAGGATGTGGTAGTCATCAATCTACAGGTAAAAAAAAAAAAAAAATCTTTATGGGACTAAATTCTGTCTGAGTAGTCACAGTAAATCACGTGGGATACCAGAAGCACTTCTCTGAATTTATTTTTGTGCAGAAAGAGGTCTAAAGAATAACTTATCTGAGGAGTCTATAAAAAGCTGAAAACCTTCTTGGTAGAACTCTTTTCATGTGTTGTTGGCAAAAATGCTGTTTGATCACCTGCTGAGTGTGAGTGGGCCAGGAGTGACACTCGGAGCTGAGTCACAAGGAGGGGACCACAGTCTCTGACCTCAGGATGCTCTGACAATTGGCGAGGCAGGATGCAGGCGTAAGAAGAAAGCGTGGGTACCTTTTACATGTGCCAAAGGAGCCATGCTAGTGATGTGCATTGTCTGTCTTCTGTCAGCCCCATGACCTCTGACCTTTTTTGGAATAATTGGAAAATTGAATTCATTTATACTGAGAAAACAGCCATCTGGAACCTTTTTGGCACTAGGCTGTACCTTCTTGTAGAGGGTAAGCCACATTGCATAGATCCCCAAGGGGTCATATGTACACACACTCTGAGGACATACAGGGAGCCTTTGGAAGCCAGGCTGGCTTTAGTTCAGCACCCTTTCATTGTTTCAGAATCACGAGGAAAACTTGTGCCCTGAGTACCCAGTATCTTGTCCCAACAAGTGTTTGCAGATAATTCCAAGAACTGAGGTAAGTGTAAATAATTCTCTCAGTGATTTTATGTAAGATAAAGTTTCAGTAATCACTGCGGTGTGTTTGATAAAATCCCATAGGTGGGGGCCTGAGCCTTACCTTATCCTCATGATGGCCATGGTTTTGTCTTCCCTCACCTTCTCCCTGAGAATTCTTCTCCCTGAGGATTCTCTGTTTCCATGTTAGCTCTCCTGGCCCCAGCTTCAGCTTGGCGTTTTTTCCTTCTGTTTCCTGTCTTCTCCCTAAGCCACCCTTGGCTCCCTGCTGACTGCAGTTATACCAGGTAGCTGGAGGGTCAGGGTGCATTTCTACAGCCTGAGACTGTCTATTTCACAGGTGGATGAACACCTGGCCGTGTGTCCTGAAGCTGAACAAGACTGTCCTTTTAAGCACTATGGCTGTACTGTAAAGGTATGGAGGAATTGTGTCTGTCTACCTTCTGCTGTATCATTCATTTGTTGAGTTCATTTTACTCTTTGATTCCATTCAGGGTGCAGGACATTCAGTGTCTGTGAAACTGTAAGAATGGCAATAACTAGTGGTTACCAGTGAGGAGAGGGAAGATGGGAGCAGGGAATTAAGAGATACAAACTACTATGTATAAAATAAATAAGCTACAAGTATATATATAATGCACAAAGGGAATATAACCAATATTTTATAATAACTACATATGGAATAGAGAAAAAAAGACTGACAATTATATTAGGGTTCTCCAAAGAAACAGAACAATTAATTTATATATATATACATAAAATTTATAATACCTACTTTTTGAAGTTTGCTTATATCTATGAAAATAAAAATGTGACCTGACACATTGACCTTGCAGTTCTACTGCTAGGAATTTATTTCACAGATATCCTTTCATAAGTATGCAAAGATCACACACCTATACAAACACACATACACATAAATATATCTTGTCCCTGGGTGATAGATTCCAAGAGCCTCAGTGGATGTCTGAAACCATGCTCCCTGCCTAGTTGCTTCAGTCGTGTCCGACTCTGTGCAACCCCATAGATGGCAGCTCACCAGGCTCCGCCATCCTGGGGATTCTCCAGGCAAGAACACTGGAGTGGGTTGCCGTTTCCTTCTCCAATGCATGAAAGTGAAAAGTGAAAGTGAAATAACTTAGTTGTGTCCAACTCTTCGCTTCCCCCTGGACTACAGCCTACCAGGCTCCTCCGTCCATGGATTTTCCAGGCAAGAGTACTGGAGTGGGTTGCCATTGTTAGTACCAAACCCTATATCCCCTATAACATACATAAGATAAAGTTACACATTTATAAATTAGGCACAGCAAGAGGATATTTGAATTGCCAGCATCATTTGGGACCATTATTGAATAAATAAGGGTTACTTGACCACAGCACTTAACTGCAACAGTTAATCTGATAACAGAGAGGGTAATACCTACTTTTTGAAGTTTGCTTATATCTATGAAAATAAAAATGTGACCTGACACATTGACCTTGCAGTTCTACTGCTAGGAATTTATTTCACAGATATCCTTTCATAAGTATGCAAAGATCACACACCTACACAAACACACATACACATAAATATATCTTGTCCGTGGGTGATAGATTCCAAGAGCCTCAGTGGATGTCTGAAACCATGCTCCCTGCCTAGTTGCTTCAGTCGTGTCCGACTCTGTGCAACCCCATAGATGGCAGCTCACCAGGCTCCGCCATCCTGGGGATTCTCCAGGCAAGAACACTGGAGTGGGTTGCCGTTTCCTTCTCCAATGCATGAAAGTGAAAAGTGAAAGTGAAATAACTTAGTTGTGTCCAACTCTTCGCTTCCCCCTGGACTACAGCCTACCAGGCTCCTCCGTCCATGGATTTTCCAGGCAAGAGTACTGGAGTGGGTTGCCATTGTTAGTACCAAACCCTATATCCCCTATAACATACATAAGATAAAGTTACACATTTATAAATTAGGCACAGCAAGAGGATATTTGAATTGCCAGCATCATTTGGGACCATTATTGAATAAATAAGGGTTACTTGACCACAGCACTTAACTGCAACAGTTAATCTGATAACAGAGAGGGCTAAATGACTAATGGGTGGGTAGTATGTATAGTTTGGATACCTGGACAATGGGATCACTCACCTCTGGGCGGGACAGAGCAGGAAGAAACAAGATTGCATCATGCTACTCAGAACAGTTCACAATTTAAAGTATTAATTATTTTCTAAAATTGTCTACTTAATATTTTTGGACCATAATTAACCATGGGTAACTGAAACCACAACTATCAAAACTCTGACTAAGCTGGGACTACTGTATTTAGCAAAAAAATCCACAATAGTGAAATATATATATATATATATACATATATATAGAGAGGGGGGGGAGTCATATTTTGGAGTACTAGGCATCTGATAAAAGCATGAGGTATATATTTTAAAAATTACTTACACTATGACTTCACTGTGTTGAAAATGTATATATATCTTCGCTGACTCTGGTGAGTGAGACTAGGGAACTGGATGTGGAGAAAGAGAAAAGGGGACTTCTACTTTTCTTTCTACATCTTCCTAAATGTTGTTTGACATAAGCATGCCATAGCATGCTCAGTCACTTCAGCCCTGTCCAACTCTTTGTGACCTCATGGACTGTATCTCGCCAGACTCCTCTGTCCATGGGATTCTCCAGGCAAGAATACTGGAGTGGGTTGCCGTGTCCTCCTCTAGGGGATCTTCCCGACCCAGGGAACAAACACACGACTCCTGTGTCTCCTGCACTGCAGGTGGATTCTTTACCACAGAGCCATTGGAGGAGCCCTTGACCCAAGCATATGTTTCTCTTATTAAAAAAAAAAAAAAACTATTTTAAACATGTTTTTAAAAAATCAGTGAAGAGTCCATAAATGTGTCACATATCAAACCGTGGTTGTCTTGGCTGCAGAAAGGATGGGGTTTACCTTCCTCTCACATGAAACCCAGAATTGCTTTCCAGTTCTAAAAGGAATCTTCTTTACATTTAGGCTCAAGCTCCTGTTTGGATTGTATTCAAGGACTTACCTTAGTACCAGAGCTGGGGATGGCTGGGGGAGTTGTGCTCTGGAAGAGGGCCAAACCTAAACTGAAATGAAATTGATTATAAATGTTTACTTAGAGTCTATGGGTCACCCATACCATTTGCTTTTATTAGTAATAGAGGCAATCTGCAATGAAATTTTAAGGGAAATCAGGGGAAAAGTAACCATTTGTTCTTGCAAACGTATAATTTTTTTTTGAGGGCAACAAAATTTTCATGGGCTGAAACTACAGTTCAGTTCACCTTCTGCCTGTAATAGCAAGTGGTAGCAAGATAAAAAGTGGTAGAGAAGTTTGCTCAGTAGGCTGATCAGGAGGTAACCCACCAAGGAGATAGGTTTTATATGGGAATAGTTGAGAGGTGATAATAACTACACTTAGCCCTCAATCATATACTCCGAGAGCAAGGAAAGGCTTCCCAGGTGGCACTAGTGGTGATGAATCTGCCTGCCAGCACAGGAGATACAAGGACTTGGGTTCAATTCCTGGGGTGGGAAGATCCCTGGAGGAGGAACTGGCAACCCACTCCAGTATTCTTGCCTGGAGAATTCCATGGACAGAGGAGCCTGGCAGGCTACAGTCCATGGGGTTGCAAAGAATCAGATGCAGCTGAACGTCTGAGCACAGCACAGGGTGAGGAAGGAAAGCAGCATTAAGAATTTTGACAGTGACCTGACTCTCCATGTCTCTTGGGTACCAAAAAAATCGTAAAGATGTAAAAGGAGCCTGGGAGAAATCCTTTTCCCTGAAACCCACCTTGAGACAAGTCAGCAAAGTTGTTAAAGTTCTGCTTTTGCAGAATATGCTGCCACCACCCTCATGTTGGAAGCCGTTCAACAACCTGACTCACGTTTCTCTTCATCTTAAAGGATAAACGGGGGAACCTTCAGGAACATGAGCGTTCGGCCTTACGGGACCACATGCTTCTGGTTTTAGAAAAGAACTTCCAACTAGAGGAGCAGGTAAACATTCAAGGGTTCAAATATAAAGGGAAGCAACAGAATCACTGGGATTTGTACTTGTTGGCATTTTTATAGCCTTCTCTGTTTTAAGTGGAAGTCTACTGGAGGTAGATGTTTTTCTACTAAGTGACTAGACAGACTTCTAGGATTAGAGCACATTAAACTGGAAAGTGCCTTTGAGATCTTTGGGTCTAGCTTCCTCAACCAACAGATGAAATAACTAAGTTCAAACAAATTTTGATGTGTTTGTGACTTCAAGGGGCAGAATTCAATCTCAGACCCATGTCCCCTCATTGTCAGTCCAGTGTTCCTCAGGGTACACCACCCTGCCTCTCTGCAGCCTATCCACACACCTCTTGGTTATTCCCTAGTAGGAACCTAGTAGGTGTTTGGTGTTTTTAAATGAAATCAGTATTACCTTGAAACAATGTTTGACTATCTGTTCTGGGCACTGTGGGTATTATACATTTTGTAATAAGTCTTAACTTACTAACTTTGCAACCTAATCAATGCATATGTACATATTTATTTCACTGAACTGTGATTATCAAGTGAAATTATGTGTGCAAATGGCAGCCGTAGTCCCTGATATATTCATAGTGGACAGCATCCAATGCTGATTCTATTGAGTAATTATTCCAACAGTTCATCATTTTGTTAGGGCATCACAGAGGATCAGACTTTTAAAACCCTGGTAGGAAGGAAACCATCCATCTGCATAGAGGGCGCTGTTTTACTGCTACAGATTATTTTATGTTGTCTGATTCCATATTAAAGTAGGTATGTGAGTTTCAGGGTCAGATGGTGGAGAAAATAGAAAGCCTGATTAAACTGTAACTTTGGTAGAAGGCATGCTGCCTCCAGACGTTCTCAAGTTCTTTCTGTAACAGTTGCCTCCTTCAGCTATCCATTCATTCAGCAAACATGTGCCATGTGTCAGGTACAAGGCTAGTAGCTGTGGACACTGGGTCAGGGGAGACCCAGCACCTACCCTTGAAGAGCTCACTAAAATGTAGACGTATAAGACGCTGTCCCCATAGCAAGTGGGATGGGGGTGCCCTGTGTTGGGGTACAGAGGCTGTAGCAGGTTGCCCTGTGGGAGTGCTTAAGGCTTTTCAAGGCTTTTCCAAGCTGTACTGTCTTGAAGAAAGAGAAGGTCTGTCAGTTAAAATGTTGTGGAAAGAGGATAGTCCAGAAGGGGAAAGTTTATGCTTCGTAGTATGAAGTATGATTTGGAGGCAAACAAGGCTAAAGACAGGGGGGAATGTTCATTCATTCATTCAATAAATATTTATCAAGCGCCTCCTGGTGCCAGGCACCAAACCAGTTGCTGGAGTTCCAGTGGACTACAGGCCCCATGCCAGTCCAGCTCCCGTAGAGCTTCTCTTCAGGTGTGTGTGTGTGTGAGGGACAGTGTATGACGGGCTGAGAAGCTATCATAGCAGCCCAGCTGAGAAACAGTCCAGGCTGCAACAGGGCACAGTGAGAAGTGGTTGTAAGAGTTGTTTTGTTTTGTCAGGAGTTAAAGTTGGCAGGTACTGCTGATAGAATGGATGCAGGGGTAAGAGAAGGTTGTCTAGGATCACTCAGAGGTTTTTAGTTATTTCCCTCATAGGGATTACAAACTCTGAGAGGTGGTGTGTTTTGCCTACCACTTGCGAGCAGTATAGTAGGCAGGTTAAACTCTCTGCCTCTGTTTCCTTATCTATAAAATGAGGCTGACCGTCGTATCCAACCCATGGGGTTCTTTGAGGATTAAAAGAGCTAATGAATATGATAATTTGATGGTAAATTACTGCTATTACTGTTGACACTGTGCATACAGCATCTAATATGGTATGGTAATCTGAATTCTGTGGTTGTTTAGTAGTAGTAGTAGTTAGTTGCTCAGTCATGTCCAACTCTTTGCAACCCATGGACTGAAGTTCATCAGGCTCCCCTGTCCGTGGGATTCTCCAGGCAAGAATACTGGAGTGGGTTGCCATTTCCTTCTCTGGAGGATCTTCCCGACACAGGGATCTAACCCAGGTCTCCTTCATTGCAGGCAGATTCTTTACCATTTGAGCTACAGGGAGTCCTGGTTGTTTAGTAAGTGCATGCTAAATGAAAGACAAGAACCAGTTCAGCAAATTTAGTCAAGTGATGTCACTAGCATGAGATGATCCATCAAAGTGGGTTACACACAGCAAAGGCTGGCAAGAAATCTGTGGATCTCTCTCTCTTTTTTTGAAGTAACTTCAAACATTTTCTTAGAATTATATAGTAAATATGTGTATATATTTTTCCTTTAAATACTTTCTTACCTGTAGTATTTTCCTAGAACTATATTCAAATTATTTTAACTTGGCTGCATGCATTTAAGTGACTTCATTCATATTCCTGTTATTAGATTTCTGACTTATATAAGAGCCTAGAACAAAAAGAAATAAAAATCCAGCAGCTAGCGGAAACAGTAAAGAAATTCGAAAAGGAGTTCAAGCAGTTTGCGCAGTTGTTTGGCAAAAATGGAAGCTTCCTGTCAAATATGCAGGTGAGAAATGGCCTTTCTATTCATAACCAAGATTTAACCTCACAGCCAGTTAGTTTTTTAACTAATTGTTTAAATGGAAAAACTAATTTTTTTAATGGAGATAATTTCAAATGTGTAAAACTAAGATAGTACAAAGAACACCTGTGTGTTCTGCACCCAGATTCACTCGTTGACAGTGTTCTGTCCCATTTGCTTGCTTCATCCTGTCTCCCCCTCCTCATCCCAACCCTGTCCTTAGCCCCCATCCTGTCCCTGTGTCTCTCTTTGTGGGTGTTCTTTCTGAACCCTTTGAGAGTAAGCCATCTATTATAGCCCTTTACCCCTGCATACTTCGCACTGTATTTCCTAAGAATAGAGATCTTTTACATAACCCAGTACACTTAGCCATGTCAGTACACATTTACACTGGTACAGTACTTTTACACAATTTATGGCAATGAGGGTTGTCATTATTGACCGAGTATTAGTCACCTGATTTCAGATTTATTGAGAGCATCTGTAGTTCTGAATTTTGCAGTCAACAAAGTGAAACTATTAATTCCTTTGGGAAGAAAATGCTTTAAACATCACTAAAATCGAGCAAAAATTACTTTGTAAATCATGAATGTTAAATAACCATAGAGATTTCTAAAAGAATAATGTCTTTATTGTGATTATAAAATTTATGGTGCAAAATATTTCATAATGTGATATGGGCAGTCTTTTTGAGGATTATACCAGAAAATGTAGGTCATATCATTTCCATACTTTGTCCACATACTGTATGGATGTGTGTGTGTGTGGAAATCCATCAATTATTATTATCTTAATTCTGACCTTTTTCTAACACAAAAACCAGTCAAGAGTGAAGGCGCTGAAGGCAGGATCCCTTCATCTAAAGAGAGCAACCAAATGTTCAGGCCTTATCTTGGGGCGCTGAGTACCACCTGCAGTGCTCAGACCAGAACAGATGGGCCTTCTTCCAGCACATTCTCTGCCCTCTCGCAGAGTGGGAGTGAATCAGAAGCATTGCAATGGAGGAGGAAGTGATGAGGCAAGAGGACAGACAGGGAGAACATAAATATAAAGATAGGTTAAAGAACCAAGAGGAGAAAATCCAAGGGAGAAGTAAGACTCAGATGAAGAACAGTTCAAAGATTTGAAACAGGAGCCGAGATACTGCAGAGGGGAGGAAGGTATTAGGTGACTCATCTCTCTGGCCTCCTCTCTCTTCTGAACCGTGCATTTTTTCACTGCATTAATTGGTTAATTCAAGGGGAAATGTTTGAGTTAAAAATGTGATCTCAACGCGTCATTCACGTTTTTTTGACATGATGATCCATTTTGTACTGAAAGGTTCTTGCCAGTCACATTGACAAGTCCGCTTGGCTAGAAGTTCAAGTGCGTCAGTTATTACAAATGGCTAACCAGCAACAAAGTAAATTTGATCTGAGGCCTTTAGTGGAAGCAATTGATACAGTGAAACAGAAAATCACCCTGCTAGAAACCCATGACCAAAGACTAGGTATGTCTAATGTTTTCTGCTTCTCTTCGGGTGCTTCCTGACTTCTGCATGTGTTCACGAAAACAAGCAAATAGGCCAATGGACAGGCACAGCGTCCAGGGCCAACAGTACTGAGTCTGGCATTTGTGAAACAGAACGACATGAGGCTCTGGCCACTCAGACAAAATTGATGAAGGGCCCTGAGTGGAAACTGGAACAAGGAGAGGGTGGAGACGGGCCAGGAAATTCCAAGAACAGGGAATGATGGTTTTTTAAGGAGAGTAGACAATGAGAAGGCTAGGGGAAAGATGTGGTGGGGAACACTGTTTCAAGTATAGAAAAGCAGAGATAAGTTTGGCTGTTTAAAAGCATCCCAGTTAGAATGTAGTGGGGCTTACCACGCAAAAGTCTGCTAGACATGTGCTGAGAGGGTCTTCTCTACACTTCAGGGAGCTTCAGTTCAAGAGGATGCTTTGGGGTTTTCTTGGGGCCAATCTTTCCAAGACAGGAGAATCATGGAGTCGGTATTATTAATATGGATGGCACATTGGTGGACATTGAATTCAGTTCATCTTGGGGAAGTCAGAATTCTATTGGTTCTCTTTGGATAACCAAATTTCACTTTGGGCATATTTGAAAGACAGCTTTAAGGCCTTCAGAATCTTTTTTTCTTTGCAGTTGTTTTGGAAGGGGAGACTAACAAACATGATGCCCACATTAATATTCATAAAGCACAGCTGAATAAAAACGAAGAGCGATTTAAGCTGCTGGAAAGTGCCTGCTATAATGGAAAGCTCATCTGGAAGGTGACAGACTACAAGTTGAAGAAGAAGGAGGCGCTGGATGGACACACAGTGTCCATCTTCAGCCAGCCCTTCTACACCAGCCGATGTGGCTACCGCCTCTGCGCTAGAGCCTACCTGAACGGGGATGGGTCTGGGAAGGGCACGCACCTGTCCTTGTACTTCGTGGTGATGCGAGGGGAGTTTGACTCGCTGCTGCAGTGGCCGTTCCGGCAGAGGGTGACCCTGATGCTTCTGGACCAGAGTGGCAAAAAGAACCACATTATGGAGACCTTCAAGGCCGATCCCAACAGCAGCAGCTTTAAGAGACCCGATGGGGAGATGAACATCGCCTCTGGCTGTCCTCGCTTTGTGGCTCATTCCACTTTGGAGAGTGCCAAGAACACCTACATTAAAGATGACACCCTCTTCTTGAAAGTGGCTGTGGACTTAAGTGACCTAGAGGATCTCTAGTCATTGCTTCTGGGGGATAAAAGGACTCCTTGAATCCAGAACCTTTGGTTAATGTAGTGACTGGATCTGGGCTCAGTACACATTTGTACTTGGCTTTTTGTCCTTAACGTGTGAAGTCATTTTAAGGTTTCTCAAGTGCTGTCTTCTTTTTACATTTTATTGTCCCAGTTTGAAACTTAAAATACTCAGACTATCTTCTCATTATTTATATTTTTGTATCTCTTGAAAGACGTTAATTTTCTTAACGTAAGGACTGCTGCATACCTCTTTAACTGGTGCTTAGTGTGGGTCTCAGGGTCTCAGCCTTCTATAATATTAAATGTCTTGGAGGACACAGATGTATTAATAGAACTTCCAGTCGAAAGTGCTTTGATATTTTTATATTTGGCCTATGGATTCTAGAACTGACCTTAAGCCTACAAAAGCTATCTTTTAGGGTAGGCTATTTCGGTTAAGTAGATGAGTTGTTGTTGTTATTTAGTCATTATGTCATGTCCGACTTTTTGCGACCCCATGGACTACAGCCCACTGGGCTCCTCTGTTTGTGAAATTCTCCAGGCAAAAATACTGGAGTGGGTTGCCGTTTCCTCCTCCAGGGGATCTTCCCAGCCCAGGGATTGAACCTGTGTCTCCTGCTTGGCAGGCATATTTTTTTACCTGTGCCACCAGGGAAGCCCAAGTAGATAGGTAGTGTACTTCGAAGTCAGTATACCCAGTTTGGATCAAACTTTTTTGGGTTAAATACTGTATTGTGGAAGCTACTACACTTTTAATATTTTCATGAAATTTACCAGTAGTCAGCAAGAACAGCTTTGCAAGGCTGCATAAGAACTTGTGAATAGAGTATTTTCATTCTTCCTGCTGAAGTAAAGCAGAAAACACTGCATAGTATATATATATACCTATAATGATTTATAGCCATCCAGCTAAAGTTCGTATCTTATTAGATCCAACCATATGAAAGAACTATTTATAAACAAAATGATCAAATATTAACAATTTCATAAGATTCAACTTAATAAATAATATATACGTACATGTTTAAACATAGCTTAGAAGTATTTTGGTAGTTATAGTAAATTAATATGAGGATGGGCAGAATTTAGTATATGATGGAGAAAGTGTCATATGGATAAGAGGGATTAAAACCTAGGGAGAACACCATTACAATTTCCTCTGGGTATGAGAATTCCCATCTGAAATTGATGGCTAAGAAGAGTGTCTCTTTTTCTTTTGAGTAGAATTTTGAGTTCATAAATTTAACTATTTATAAACAAAATGATCAAATATTAACAATTTCATAAGATTCAACTTAATAAATAATATATACGTACATGTTTAAACATAGCTTAGAAGTATTTTGGTAGTTATAGTAAATTAATATGAGGATGGGCAGAATTTAGTATATGATGGAGAAAGTGTCATATGGATAAGAGGAATTAAAACCTAGGGAGAACACCATTACAATTTCCTCTGGGTATGAGAATTCCCATCTGAAATTGATGGCTAAGAAGAGTGTCTCTTTTTCTTTTGAGTAGAATTTTGAGTTCATAAATTTGTATGAAAATTGGCATTTATGTAAACTTATGATGTTTTTTGTCAAAGTCCTGAGTACTTTGTGAAGAACGGAGAGATCATGTTCCTCTGTATCTATCTGTATGGGTATGAAAGTGTAAATATAAGTCTATACAAAGTCCTTCTGACTCTTGACACGGTGGTAGTAGTTTAGTCGTGTCCGACTCTTGCAGCCCCATGGACTGGAGTCTGCCAGGCTCCTCTGTCCATGGGATTTCCCAGGCAAAAAATACTGGAGTGGCTTGCCATTTCCTTTTTCAGGGGATATTCCCCACCCAGGGATCCAATCAGCATCTCCTGCATTGGCAGGCAGATTCTTTAGCGACCGAGCCACCAAGGAAGCCCTGACTCTTGATGAGCCTGCAGTGAAGTCGCTCAGTTATGCCTACCTTTGCAACCACATGGACTGTAGCCTGCCAGGCTCCCATCCATGGGACTTTCTAGGCAAGAATACTGGAGTGGGTTGCCATTCCCTTCTTCAGGGGATCTTCCCAAACCAGGGATCAAACCTGGGTCTCCCGCACTGCAGGCAGACTCTTTACCACCTGAGCAAGCAGGGAAGCCTGGACTCTTGATAAGCCTGAGCTTAACCCGAAACTACCCAGTTTTCCTGGGCCCTCACTCTTGTTAAGCCACTGAGCACTGCCCACACTAGGCTGGCTCCCTTGAGCATGTACGGGCAAGCAGCTCACTCAGTGATGACCACATACCTCACAACTCTTGATTGGTTGACCTCACAGGAGCAGCATGATTTATACCAGTGGCTTCTGGAATAGTTGGAACTTTCTTCCTCTCTCCTGTGAAATTTTCAAGATACCAAAGACTCATACTACACAAATCTTCCCAAAGGGTTAAATTCAAAGACCTGAGTTCACAGAAGAAATCTGGTAGAGAACCACCCTGCAGGTGCTAGTAAACTCGGGTGCAGCTGACGGTCAGCCTGTCCCCTCAGGCAAAGTCAGCAAGTCTTTCTCTAGACCGCACAGCTGGATGCTGGTGGTTCTGTGCGCTGGTCTTCAATGTTTCTCATCAGGTCCAAAGTCATCCTTGTGTTCTGAGGAAGGGGAGAGCCCAGTGTTGTGACTAGTTTTAAGCCTTTGATGTGAAAAACATTTTAAAGTGAATTTATCAAAACACTGATTTTGTGTTTTAACCACCTTCTCTACATAAAAAGTATAAGTTATGGCATGGTTTGCTTACAAGCTCAGAGTCCCTTCATCATTGAAACAGTGAACACAGAACAAGGTATTCTATAATAAAAAGTACTTTTTTCTCACAAAATAAGAGTTGTGAATTTTGTCATAAGGAAATCGATCCACAGAAATTATTTTTCCATTTTTATGATCTGAACAGTTATTTTTATTCTGTAAGATTTAAAATTTTATTCCACTTTGGCCTGATTCAGTTCCTGATGAAAAGAAAATGACACAGTAGGCATAAACGGGGACTTAACAACCTTGAGAAAGGTACGTGCAGGATTTAAGGAGGGTGAGGAGGTGGAGTACATACACGCTAATACACCTCAGCAGATCTGAATTCTGACGCTTGGTCTCCAAATGTGATGATTTCAGAGAAACAAGAAATAGTCATTCCCAGAGCCTATCTTGAACACACACAAATGGGACAGAGTGCCACAAACCCTTTGTGGGGGTCCTTGGACTGTCAGTCCACGCTGCGACTTCCTCTTTTCTCTTGAAAGTGGTTGCAGACATGGGCCTTCATCTTACATAAGAACTCTGGGCTGCAGAGAAAGCTTTGATGGATGCACAAGAAAGGACTTGGGTGGTGAAATTCCCTGGGAACACCACATTTTAGGGAGAAGGAAGAGGAGCCTGCCAAGCATTTGGAGAAGAGGTCAGAGGTCAGAGGTTAGACACCAAGGGAGATGGGAAGAGAACTGAACATCAGCAGGGCCAAATCTCCGCTGAGAACAGCAGCCGCTTCCAGGGCACTCCACAGCATCCTTGAACTCGTCATCTCCCTGAAGACCCCTCTGTCCAAGTACCTGCTGAATATCTAAGCACAGAAGTCCCGCAGGGACCTTCAAGTACACTTTACCAAAACTGAACGGGAGGTCTCACTCTCCACCACCGCTAACCCATGACTCCCCGGGTGTGTTCTCCCTCAGGGAGTGACGTCAGCATCCACGGCAGAGCTTGGACACTGTGGATTCCCCTCACTTCCCCCATCCAGTCACCCAGCCAGTGTGCCAACTGAACCTCCAAATAATGTCTTAAAACTATTTCTACCCTTCCATATCCCTTCTGTCTACTACTGCCCTATTTGCTGGCCTACAGTTTTTGATTCACACTGTTCTCGATATATATTTTCTTTTGCCTCTTTTGGATCCAGACTCACACTGACACCCAATAATCTCTAAAATGAAAATCCAAGGGTGACTCCCCACCTTACCCACCCACCGTGGCTCCATCACCCACAGGACATGACTCCAGCCTCCCTGGCCTGGCAGGCAAGGCCCTGCATACCTGCTTCAGCCTCTCCAGCCTCACCGCATGACCATCCTGCTTTGCATTCAGCAACAGCATACTAAGCCATTTTGACATTTGTCTGTACTTGTGTTCATTTCTATCTAGAATACTCTCCTCCATCCTCACCTCCTCCACTGTCTGGTGGATTCTTGCTCTTTAGGATTCTGCTTTGGCCTCACCTCTCCAAGATGCCTTCTCAAACTAGCCCTTACTCCCCTGCACTCAACTCCTACCCTCCCCTAGGCCAGGAGCCCTTGCTCTGAGCTGTATACCTCCTTGCCTATAACTCACTTCCTGTACTTTTTTTCCAGAAAACAAATGTTAATTGACTATATTTTTGTCAGATTTTACTTTAGCTGCAAATAAAACAGATGTTGTCCTTGTCCTCATAAAACATAATCTGGAGGTCATCACAGCAGTGAACCAAAATGCTCACTGTGTGCATTTCCCAGTTGTCCCAATAGACTTTGCCTCCTACTTCCCCCGCCTCCACTCACTGCCAGAAACATGTATCTCTCAGACCATCCTGAATATCTGTGATGCTAAATAAGAGAATAGGCAGAAAACACTTGAAGGGAGAGCCCAAGGTGAAATTTATAAAGAAAAGTGAAAGCAGCCCACTTAAGTGGGACTGGGGAGAATTAAACGAAAGAACGGTTCCTATGGGAACTGATGCTTTTATTCTTCCAAGAGACCCATGTTAAAGACTAGAATACGTGTTTATCAAAATGGATTAAAGACCAAAATATAAGGCTGGATACTATAAAATGCTCAGAGGAAAATATAGGCAGAACACTCTTTGACATAAATCATAGCAAGATCTTTTCCAATCCACCTTCTACAATAATGAAAATAAAAACAAAAATTAACAAATGGGACTTAATTAAACTTAAAAGCACTGCAAAGGAAACCATAAAACGAAAAGACAACCCTCAGAATGGGAGAAAATATTTGCAAAGGAAGCACTGGCAAGTGATTAATCTCTGAAATATACAAACAGCTCATGCAGCTCGATATCAAAACAACAAACAACCCAATCAAAAAGTGGGTACAAGACCTAAACAGACATTTCACCAAAGAAGACATACAGATGGCCAACAAACACATGAAAAGATGTTCAACATCACTAATTATTAGAGAAATGCAAATCAAAACTACAATGATGTATCACCTCACACCAGTCAAAATGGCCGTCATCAAAAAATCTACAAACAAATAAATGCTGGAGAGGATGTGGAGAAAAGGGAACCCTCCTATACTGTTGGCAGGAATATAAATTGGTTATGACCACTGTGGAGAACAGTATGGAGATTCCTGAAAAAAACAAAAATAGAACTACCATATGACTCAGTGACCCCACTTCTAGGTGTGTATCTGGAGAAAACCATAATTCAAAAGCATGCATGCACTCCAGTGTTCATCACAGCACTATTTACAATAGCACGGACATGGAAGCAACCCAAATGTCCATCAGCAGAGGGATGGATAAATAAGATGTGGTATATATACAATGGAATATTACTTAGCCACAAAAAGGAATGAAATAGTGCCATTTGCAGACATGTGGATGGACCTGGAGATTGTTATCCAGAGTAAAGTAAGTCAGAAAGAGAGAAACAAGTATTGTATAGTATTGCTTATATGTGGAATCTAGAAAAATGGTACCAATGAACTTGTTTGCAAAGCAGAACCAGAGTCACAGACGTAGAGAACAAACTTACGGTTACAAAGGGGGCGGGGGGATGGGACAAATGGGGAAATTGGGATTGACACATATACACTGCTATGTATAAAATAAATGATGAGAACCTGGGCTTCCCTGGTGGGTCAGAGGGTAAAGAATCTGCCTACAAGAGACCTGGGTTCAACCCCTTGGTTGGAAAAATCCCCCGGAGGAGGGCATGGCATCCCACTCCAGTATTCTTGCCTGGAGAATCCCCAAGACAGAGGAGCCTGGCGGGCTGCAGTCCACGGGGTCACAGAGAGTCAGACACAACTGAGCAGGTAAGCGCAGCACGATGAGAACCTACCGTACGGCACAGCGCACTCTCCTCAGTGCGGCTCTGCGGGGCCCAAAGAGGAAGGGAATCTAACAAAGAGGGGCAGAGCAGAAACGAACACCACATTGTAAAGCAACCACACTCCAACGAAATTTAACTTAAAAAAGACCAAAATACATGTTTAAGTCACTTTGGCTGCTTGAGTCACACTTGCTTGAATACAGCTCCACGTGGACCTCAGACTCTGGCTCCAGGATAAGTATAGGACAATGTGATAAATGCCTTCAAGAAAATGACAGACCACAGTAAAGGAGTAATGGCGCTGGATGGGGAGAAGAGGTACACACTCTGGGTTGTCAGGGAAGGTAACATGACAGTCAGTGCTCAGGTGACATGTTTCCTGGATGCTCAGCACTGTGGGACACCCTTATAAAATCTGAGCCATCTCCTGAGGAAGCTTGCCTCCTTTGCAGCACAGGAATGTGGCCCAGGTCCCAGTCATCAGGCGGTCAGGCAAAACTTCAACTTGAAAGACACAGTTGGAAAGACTCAACTTCTTTGTTTAAGGTTTGTAAGACGAAGAAGAAACGTGCCAGACTCTGACTCCCCAGTGCTGAGTGGACCTGAGGCAGTTTCTGGAAGCCCGTCCTTCCTTCTGGAGGTTTGTTTCTAGAAGCTGTGGTGTTGCTGTCGAGTGACGGCGGCCACTGTGGTGGATTTTCGCCATTACCTCTTGTGTGTCTGGGTGTCATGCCCGGCTGTGCTGTACCCATACTGGCCTCCGTGGTCTTCCTGGAGCTTCTGTGGGTGACAGAATGCTAATGAAGCCCCTGTCACGTTCAGAGTGGATCGTGTGGTTTGTAACTAACCCCGACTGAATCAAGCTGAGACCTGAAAGATGAGTGAGTCCTGGGGGGAGCAGGTGGGATGAGAATTCGGGGCAGAGGGCACCAAGGAATAAGTAAAGAATTGCTTTAAGGAGCTGAGAAGAGGCCAGAGTGGTAGGAGCCCATGAGAAGAGGAAAGGGTAACACCTGACAAGGTTAGAAGAGGAGGCAGGGCCCAGAATCTATGCTGAAGTCATGGTGAGGAGGTTGCGGTTTATGTGAAGTGCAGTGAAAGTTGACCTGATTTGGGCTGGGGAAGGCATGATCTGATTGACGTGTTCTAGAAAAACTGCTCTGTGCAGAGCACAGATAAGAAGGGAACGCAGAAGTCACGGGACAGGATTAAGGTTACACCATACTGCAGTTCTTTTCACAAGTCTGTGCCCTTACTAGATCACAAACTCCTTGAAGGCAAACACCATGTCTATTTCAAGTGCGTGAAAAGTGCTCAGTGTTACACAGAATTGTACATAAACACTAATGCACAGAATCTTTGTAACAATCTGTTAGGCAGGTATAATACCCATTTCATAGTTGAAAAAAACTGATGATTAGAGAGAGTTATGTGCTATGTACCAAGTACTGTCCTAAGAATTTTACACACCCAATGTATGTTAACATGCAAATCCTCTCAGCAATCTTATGGGGTACACGCAATTTTATCCTTGCTGACAGATGAGGCAGTGGGCACAGAGAAGTTATGTAATAAACTCTAGTTTACACAGCTAACAAATGGTAAAGCCAGGATCTGAATCCAGGCAGTCTGACTTCAGAGGCTCCACTCTTACTATGCAAGGCTGCCTCATATGGATACTGATTAATTCCACATGCTTCTAAAAATATATAAAATTAAATGAGTTAAAATACAATAAGAATAACCACTGGGACAAAGACTGAATGTATAACTTCAAACCCATTAAAGAAAAAGAAAAAAAAAAACTGGAAAAAGAAACATCAAACCAAACACAGAAATGAACACAACAGGAAGTATGATACATAGAAAAAACAAGTTAGAATTAAACCCAAACACATAAATAAGAACGAGTGAACTGCTATTATTAAAACAGGAAATATCTCAAACATGGGTACACATATACATGCTTTTAAATATTCATCTAAAACAAAGCAGAACAACTAGGTATATATCCAGAGGTGCTCTTGCACAAGCCCAGAAGCCACATACAAGAGTTTCCGCCAGGATTGTCTATAATAGCAAAGAACAAGGGGGCGGAAAAGCTCCCAGCTAACAAGGGATGGCATGGGTGTGGAGCATCACATGGCTGGAGGAAGGGTAAACTGGTGCTAGCACTGGAGAACAATATGGCAATTTCAAATAAAGTTGAATTGTGCAATATCATTTCTAGACATGTACCAAAAATTCTTGCCATGTGCCCAGTGAGATGTGTACAAGTATGGCCATTAATTCATACCATAATGACATAAATCAGGAATCATTAAATTACTAGCAACAGGAGAATGGATAAATTGCTTTATAGTCCTATGATGTTCAACATTTAAGATAAAACTAGAAACACATGAATCAACATGAATAACTTTCACAAATATAACAAAATTTACACAGTGGTATCATTTATGTTAGGTTTAAAAAACATATGAAATAATACTGTATGTTTTACACATATATAAACTTTCATGGGAATGAGAGATACAACATCCTTTGGAGAGGAAGAAAGGGAGAATGAGATTGCAGAAAGGTTCCCAGGAGGCTCTAACTGAATAGGTAATATAAAATCTGAAGCAAATATGGAAAAGTGCTAAAATACAGTAGTTAGGTGGCTGGTATATAAGTATTCATTATATTATTTCCTGTAACTTTATATATGTTTGTAACGTTTCACATTAAACATTACAAAGACATGAGCTTTCTACACAAGATTCTACAAAAAGAACAAAATAAACCAAAGAAATAAGATGGGAAGAACATAAGGAAAGCACATTAATTAAAGAGGAAAATATTTTATGATAGAGGTTATCAATAAAATAAAAAGTTGATTCAATAAATGACAAAGAAAAAAGACTTAAATAAAATATGTAAGAATGAATTAAGAATATGAAATCAAAAAATTTTAATACCATAGACAATTTTATACTGTTTGAAAATGTAGATGAAATGGGTACTTTCCTAGGGAAAAAAACGTATCCCTTAAAAAGCCACCACATCCTGATGACTTTAAACATCAGTTCTTCAAAACCTAAGACTAACAGACTAAGACTAACCAGAATAACAAGGGAAGCCTTGAATTCCCGGAGAAATAACCCCACCTTTCTCAATGGTACGTCTCCACGTTGTACAAGTACCCTATCTGGGCAAATCTACCGAAAACTTTGCCATCTGGCGACAATCTATTACAGATTTGAAACGGAATCCCAAGCAAGTTCCGGGAAAACGTTGCCGTTTGGTGACAACCTGTGACAGAATTCGCCCCTGGTTTCAGGCTCGTGACACGTGGGCAAACGGTCTGCAGTTAACCCGCGAGCAGCCCCCAGCGGAGGGCCCCCGAGGCCGGAAGAGGCCTTTGGCTCCGCCCCGCTCACGTAGTGGGCGGGGCGCTTCCGGCCGGCTGAGGCGTGCGCGCCCGAGAAGCCGCGGGTCGCACCTGGCACCGCTCGGCGCCGCCGCCCTGCCTCCTGAGCTTCCTTGCGCCGCGCCTGCGGGTCCTGCCCAGAAAGGTCGTTTCCCCCGCGCACCCCCCCGCAGTTTCCAGTACGTGACGGTGGCAGGCGGAGCTGCGGCTGGAGAGAGGCCGCAGGTTCCCCCTCCATCACCCCCCTGTTAAGTCCCTCCCTGGCGTCTGGGCCCCTCCGGGTCTGTCTGCCGCCACTCCCCGCGCTCGAGGTTTGCCCAGAAGCTGTGTCCTTTCCCATGAGCTCTTCGCTGATCTGAAACGGTCGCCAGCCTCTCGCGTGTATTCTGGAGGGTGTGTTCTTTGTACACACTTGTCTCAGCCCTTTCTCGTCCTGCTCATACACCGTGGGAATGCTCCCACCATCACTTCTACCCCTACTTGCCCCGGGAATGTGACCTTACTTTTCCTCTTCAGAATCTTCCGGGGTCTTCTAACTAAATTGGTTACCAAGGGACCAGCCCTCTCATCGCAGCGCCTCTCCTCCCCTCTAAAAAACCCCTTCCTTGTTAAATAATCGCAACAATTAACGAAAAGAATGTCTTAAGAGTCACTGATCTGTGTGTTTAACAGGCATTCTTTTTTTAATCATCGCAAGTAGGATGCGATGGAAACTGAGGAATAGGAAACTGAGGCATAGGAAAGTTAATTTGCTAGAGGTAACAGTTTGCCTGGGGTTGAAATCTGAATCCATTGTGTAGCTGGCTCCAAAGCTGTTGCACTCACCCCTTCCTCTTTTCACAAATCCTGATCGTTCTCCCTTTAGTTGCTTCTCCAGAGAATTTTTTCTGAACGTGGTCTGAAAGGCCCCTATTTATGGAAATGTGACATTTAAGAACTTTTTCAGAGCTTCTCAGGCAGACTCTTGAGTGTTCCATTTTATCAGGCATCTAGACTCTGAACTTAGTAATATTTTGCATCCCCACCATGTGCTTGGAGAATTTTGAGCATTGCTTTACTAGTGTGTGAGATGAGTGCAGTTGTGCGGTAATTTGAGCATTCTTTGGCATTTCCTTTGGGATTGGAATGAAAACTGACCTTTTCCAGTCCTGTGGTCACTGCTGAGTTTTCCAAATTTGCTGATTATATTGAGTGCAGCACTTTGACAGCATCATCTTTTAGGATTTGAAATAGCTCAACTGGAATTCCATCATATCCACTAGCTTTGTTTGTAGTGATGCTTCCTAAGGCCCTCTTGACTTCACATTCCAGGATGTCTGGCTCTAGGTGAGTGATCACACCATCGTGATTATCTGGGTCATGAAGATCTTTTTTGTACAGTTCTTCTGTGTATTCTTGCCACCTCTTCTTAATATCTTCTGCTTCTGTTAGGTCCATACCATTTCTGTCCTTTATTGAGCCCATCTTTGCATGAAATGTTCCCTTGGTATCTCTAATTTTCTTGAAGAGATCTCTAGTCTTTCCCATTCTGTTGTTTTCCTCTATTTCTTTGCATTGATCACTGAGGAAGGCTTTCTTATCTCTCCTTGCTATTCTTTGGAACTCTGCATTCAAATGGGAATATCTTTCCTTTTCTCCTTTGCTTTTCGCTTCTCTTCTTTTCACAGCTATTTGTAAGGCCTCCTCAGACAACCATTTTGCCTTTTTGCATTTCTTTTCCATGGGGATGGTCTTGATCCCTGTCTCCTGTACAATGTCACGAACCTCTGTCCATAGTTCATCAGGCACTCTGTCTATCAGATCTAGTCCCTTAAATCTATTTCTCACTTCCACTGTATAATCATAAGGGATTTGATTTAGGTCATACCTGAATGGTCTAGTGGTTTTCCCTACTTTCTTCAATTTAAGTCTGAATTTGGCAATAAGGAGTTCATGATCTGAGCCACAGTCAGCTCCCAGTCTTGTTTTTGCTGACTGTATAGAGCTTCTCCATCTTTGGCTGCAAAGAATATAATCAATCTGATTTTCGTGTCGACCATCCAGTGATGTCCATGTGTAGAGTCTTCTCTTGTGTTGTTGGAAGAGGGTGTTTGCTATGACCAGTGCGTTTTCTTAGCAAAACTGTATTAGCCTTTGCCCTGCTTCATTCTGTAGTTCAAGGCCAAATTTGCCTGTTACTCCAAGTGTTTCCTGACTTCCTACTTTTACATTCCAGTCCCCTATAATGAAAAGGTTATCTTTTTTGGGTGTTGGTTCTAAAAGGTCTTGTAGGTCTTCATAGAACCATTCAGCTACAGCTTCTTGAGTCTATGGTTTGGGCATAGACTTGGATTACTGTGATATTGAGTGGTTTGCCTTGGGAATGAACAGAGATCATTTTGTCATTTTTGAGATTGCATTCAAGTACTGCATTTCGGACTTTTTTGTTGACCATGATGGCTACTCCGTTTCTTCTGAGGGATTCCGGCCCACAGTAGTAGGTAAAATGGTCATCTGAGTTAAATTCACCCATTCCAGTCCATTTTAGTTCTCTGATTCCTAGGATGTCAATATTCACTCTTGCAATCTCTTGTTTGACTACTTCCAATTTGCCTTGATTCATGGACCTAACATTCCAGGTTCCTATGCAATATTTCTCTTTACGGCATTGGCCCATGCTTCTATCACCAGTCACATCCACAACCAGGTGTTGTTTTTGCTTTGGCACCATCCCTTCATTCTTTCTTAAGTTATTTCTCCTCTGATCTGATGCTTTTGAACTGTGATGTTGGAGAAGACTCTTGAGAGTTCCTTGGATTGCAAGGAGATCCAACCAGTCTATCCTAAAGGAGATCAGTTCTGGGTATTCATTGGAAGGTCTGATGTTGAACCTGAAACTCCAATACTTTGGCCACCTGATGTGAAGAGCTGAGTCATTTGTAAAGACCCTGATGCTGGGTAAGATTGAGGGCAGGAGGAGAAGGGGACAACGGGATGAGATGGTTGGATTACATCACCAACTCAATGGAGATGAGTTTGGGTGGGCTCCAGGAGCTGGTGTTAGACAGGGAGGCCTGGAGTGCTGCAGCTCATGGGGTTGCAGAGTCAGACATGACTGAGCGACTGAACTGACTGACCATGTGCTTTGTTATTGTTGTTCAGTTGCTAAGTCCTGTCCCACTCTCTGCAACCCTGTGAACACTTCCCTGTCCTTCACCATCGCCCAGAGTTTGCTCAAACTCACATACATTGAGTTGGTGATGCCATCCAACCATCTCAGCCTCTGTCACCCCCTTCTCCTCCTGCCCTCAGTCTTTCCCAGCATCAGGGTCTTTTCCAGTGAGTTGGCTTTTCACATAAGGTGACCAAAATATTGGAGCTTCAGCTTCAGCATCAGTTCTTCCAATGAATATTCAGAGTTGATTCCCTTTAGGATTGACTGTTTGGATCTCCTTGCAGTCCAAGGGACTCTCGAGTCTTCTCCAACACTACAGTGCAAAAGCATCATTTCTTCAGTGCTCAGTCTTCTTTATGGTCCAACTCTCACATCTGTACCTAAGTACTGGAAAACCCATAGCTTTGACTATACAGACCTTTGTCGGCAAAATGATGTCTCTGCTTTTAATACACTGTCTAGAATTGTCATAGCTTTTCTTCCAAGGAGCGAGCATCTTTTAATTTCATGACTGCACTCACTGTCCGTAGTGATTTTGGAGTCCAAGAAAAGAAAGTCAGCCACTGCTTCTGCTTTTTCCCCTTCTGTTTGCCATGAAGTGATGTGACCTGATGCCATCATCTTTGTTTTTTGAATGTTGAGTTTTACAATGTGCTTCCTTAAGAATGTACTCTTAACCCAGTATGTACTCATTACAGCCCTCTTCCCCTTCCTCAGTGTGACTGTCATTGTCATTATCACTGTCCTCAGCAAACATTTGAGCAGCTAATTTTTCTAAGACGATAAAGATAATTGCCGTTTCAAAAAACTCTTGAGGTTTAGTTTCTTATCTCAAGGAGACATACGACATTTATTCATAAGACCAAGAAAATGGTAGGTGATCAGTAACTTGGGCTTCCCTTGTGGCTCAGCTGGTAAAGAATCTGCCTACAATGTGGGAGACCTGGGTTCGATCCCTGGGTTGGGAAGATCCCCTGGAGGAGGACATGGCAACCTGCTCCAGTATTCTTAAATGACTGGAGAATCCCCATGGACAGAGGAGCCTGGTGGGCTAGGTTAAATGAATCATCAAAGAATTAAAAGCATTTCAGATGCTGTAATAAACACAGGGACTGTGCACCTAGTTCAGTGCTTTGCCCTTTTCAGTTCAGTCGCTCAGTCGTGTCCGACTCTTTGTGACCCCATGAATTGCAGCACGCCAGGCCTCCCTGTCCATCACCAACTCCCAGAGTTTACTCAGACTCATGCCTATCGAGTTGATGATGTTCTTTTAATTTCATGGCTGCAGTCACCATCTGCAGTGATTTTGGAGCCCCCAAAAATAAAGTCTGACACTTTTAGGGCCTCAATAAATGTGTGATGGATTAACAAACTTAAAAATGCATAGCAAATAAAAACCATCTCGCTGTCTAATAAAAACCAGTCACTGTTAGCAACTTAGAATATAACAGCATTCAATTTTCCTACAATCTGACATTTCATATATTATGCAACCCTAACCACTGTTTGTTTGAAGAATTTGGTCTTTCATACTTGAGCTAAGAACCAGCAGCAGAGCCAATAGGACATATGGCCCGCACCCAGCCAAGGCCACAAAGTAGAGTGTTTGCAGACCAAGGTCTGTGGCATCAAAGAAAGCTAATGGTCAGGTTGAGGTGCCCCCCTCAGCTCAACCCTTTTAGTCCTGGGGGACTTGGGATGGGTAACAGAAGAAAAAGTACCTCTTTGCCCCTCCCATTCCCTCACCCTCTTCTCAATGGACTTTGGCTCTGGCCTTTGGAAGCTAGGTCTT